AATAAAATAAAATAAAATAAAATAAAATAAAATAAAATAAAATAAAATAAAATAAAATAAAATAGAATAGAATAAAATAAAATAAAATAAAATAGAATAGAATAGAATAGAATAGAATAGAATAGAATAGAATAGAATAGAATAAAATAGAATAGAATAAAATAGAATAATAAAAAAAAGACTCCATCCAGTCTTGGGAGAGGACAGAACAGGAGGGCCTGGAATCCCATCCAGGGAAACGCTGGCCGATCCCCCGAAGGGGAATCCTGGGAGAACCGGGAGGAAAGAGGCTGGCTCTTCCATGCCCAAGTAAATTGCTCGCAGGGATGTCCACGTGAGTCAAAAAAGTCAAGATGGCAGCCACAACCAGGCAATCAAAGCCCCACCCCCTTTTTTTTACACGCCCAGTAAAAAGAACCAGGCTTTGACAACATGGTTGAAGCTGCCATCTTGACTTTTTTGACCACCTCCACCCCCCCCGATCCTTCGACCTCCAGCTGATTTTGCCAGTTCACTGACTAAGCAGAATCAATACAAAATGTTTTATTAGAGAAAAGTCTGCATGAAGTAGCAAAACCTGGCTTGCCTTGAGGGTTAAGCTTTGTGGATGGGAAAATGCCATATCCTTTTAGGGAGTTGTGTGTGTGTGTGTGTGTGTGTTGTAAATAACAGCAACTGGATGTGCGTTGCTGAGATAGTTCAAGAAAGAAGCGAATAAATTCAAATCTTTATTCAAATCTCTTTTCCGGCTTCCTGCCTAGGTGACTCAAGCAGAAATTAAGCAAAGCAGAATGCTATTTAAAAACTAATCGCGTGCTTCCCATCTCAGCAGCGCACATGGTCCATTTTATTTTATTGTATTTATTTTGTTTTACTTTATGTATTATTTTATTATTTTTCAAATGTACCAGCCACCCCTTTTACTGCCTGAGTGGCAATAAAAGTAAAAAATTTGTATTTTTTACTTTTATTGCCACTCAAGCAATAAAAGTAAAAATACAAATATTACAACATTAAATATTAAAATGCACGTCAATCAATACATGTGTCCTTGTCTATATTGGTCATCTTAAGTGACTTTTTCAATTGCAGCTGCGGGGAGAGCAAAAATCTGCATCTGGGGTGGATCTTAAGAGTCCCTTAGGCAAGTGTTACATTCAAGCACACCACTTCATGCAGGTTTTCCCAACTTTGGCGACTTTAAGACATGCAGACTCCCAGCTCCCACAATTTGTCAGCCAGGGAGAAAGAGAGGGAGAGGGAGAGAGAGAGATATAGAGAGATACAGGGAGAGGGAGATTAGATAGATAGATAGATAGATAGATAGATAGATAGATAGATAGATAGATAGATAGATAGATAGATAGATAGATAGATAGATAGATAGATAGATAGATAGATAGATAGATAGATAGATAGATAGATGATGGATGGATGGATGGATGGACACACAGACAGATAAATAGTAGATAGATAGATATTAGGTAGGTAGGTAGGTAGGTAGGTGGATGGATGGATGGATGGATGGATAGATAGATAGATAGATAGATAGATAGATAGATAGATAGATAGATAGATAGATAGATAGATAGATAGATAGATACACAGACAGATAAATAGATATTTTGTAGGTAGGCAGGTAGGTAGGTAGGTATATAGGTAGGTAGGTAGGTAGGTAGATAGATAGATAGATAGATAGATAGACAGACAGACAGGCTGACAGACAGACAGACAGATAGATAGACAGACAGACACAGACAGACAGATAAATAGTAGATAAATAGATATTAGGTAGGTAGGTAGGTAGGTAGGTAGGTAGGTAGGTAGATAGATAGATAGATAGATAGATAGATAGATAGATAGATAGATAGATAGATAGATAGATAGATAGATAGATAGATATAGATGATTGATAGACAGATCGATATAGATAGATTGATAGACAGACAGACAGATAGATAGATAGATAGATAGAGGCAGGTAGACAGACAGACAGATATAGAGGGATGAAAAAGAGAGAAATACAGAGAGATGATAGATCGCTAGATAGATTGATCAATAGATTGATCAATCAATCAAGAGAGAGAGAGAGAGAGACAGACAGACAGACAGACAGACAGACCGTCGACAATGGGTGCTCTGTCATTGCTGGGGAAACCAACCCTGCCCAGAAGACCTGAGCAGAGTTGTAAGCACACCAGATGATGCTCTGCAACTCGGCCACTGCTTTTAGCCAAGCATCTTAAAGCCGGACGGGCTCCCTCGAGATCATCCATCCCAACCCAATGCTGCCTGCTTTCCAGACTCCTAACCTGAAGCACACTGGAGTCAGAGATCTATTTCTCCCCTCCCTCCATCAATCTATCACTTAAAAACAGTTCCTCACTTCCCTGTCTCCAAGCCCCCCTTCCTCCTCGCCCACAGCTAAACCAGGTTTCCTGGTTTTAAAAAAAAAGGGCCCTTACTTTGATACTGGCTGGATTAAACTCCACTTCTTTCTTCTCCGGCTCAGGTGGAGGAGCTGGCTTTGGGGCCGGCTTGGGTTCCTCCTTTTTGGGTTCGACTTTTTTCGGCTCGGGTTTTTTGGGGGGCATCGTGCCGGAGATGGGAGGGGGGCGCACAGGCAGGCAAAGCTGGTCACGTCGAGGGACGGCAGGCAGAGCAGCTGAGAGTCCCCCCGGCGAGGGTCTTTATTCACCTCCCGGCCCCTGAATGCCACAGCGGGTGTCAGTTGGCCTCCGTCCCCTGCCCGAAGCCCCCCTCCCCATTGTGCATCGCACATACCACGTTGCACAATAGCAACCTGTCTATAAAAGGGAAAGACAGACGGCTTGGCTATTTCGGACGAGGGCACCCAAATCGGTCTGGGAAGACAAAAGAGCAGAGGGGGAGAGGACGGGGGGAGAGATGGAGGGCGGGGGGCCATTGCAGACCCCCCCATGCCTTGAGTGAGGAGGCTGGGAGACCCTTCAGTCCAAGGCAAGGGGAGCAGGCATTTTTTCCAGTGCCGATATGGTCACTAAACAAAGTCAAGGACTATCTTTACATCCAGGTATTTTATTTCAGGCATATATAGGTAGTCCTCAACTTACGACCACAACGGACCCCAAAAATTCTGCTGTCTCTAAGCGAGACAGCTGTTAAGTGAATTTTGCCCTATTTTACAACCTTTCTGGTCACTGTTAATCACTGCCATTGTTCAATTAGGAATATGGCCGTTAAGTGAATCCAGCTTCCCCACTGACGTGGCCTGTCAGAAGGTCGCAAAAGATGATCACCTGACCCGGGGGGGGGGGAACGACACTGCGACCGTCATAAATACGAGTCAGTTGCCAAGCTGTCTGAATTTGGATCACCTGAGGATGCTGTGACGGACGTAAGTGTGAAAAACGGTCATAAGTCCCTTTTTTTTCAGTGCCGCTGTAACTTCGAACGGTTGCTAAAGGGAACAGTTGTAAGTCGAGGACTACCTGTATAGGAGGGTTAGGAGAATTGGAACTGGTAGGAATTTTGACAAAGAATCAAATAAATAAATACATAAACGTTGGGTGCCGCCGCAGACGGTCACTAAACGGGACGGTCGCAAGTCGAGGGCTGCCTGTAGTAAGGATTCTGCTGGCTTTTGGGGGGGGAGCAAAAAAGGCACGTAGTCCTCTCTGTGGTCCTCTGGGATCTGCCACCCCCTTCCGGGCGAAGGGGCCGAGCATTGTTCTGCCTTCTCTGGGGAGCTAACAATGGGATCGTGTTTCCAGGCCGTATAACATTTCAACACGTGTAAAAAGGGTGGTGTATTTTGGGCCTCGGAGTCCCTGCGCAGGTGTGACCTCATAGGACAAATCTGGGGCCTGGGAAGAGAAGCCGGACTTTAAAAAGGCATCTGCAGAGACCCACCTTCTTGCGGCCCTTTTCTGCCCCTGCGGAAAAAATACCTGCGGAGGTCGCCCCAAAGGTCGAGAGTAGAGCCTCCATAGCTAGAGGCAGCGGAGCTTTGAATTCAAGGCCGCTGAGAGATCCCAGAATGGAACAGGAACTTTTAAAAGAGGAAAGGAAAAGGAAAAGGAGAGGAGAGTGGAAGAGAAGAGAAGAGAAGAGAAGAGAAGAGAAGAGGAGAGAAGAGGAGAGGAGAGGAGAGGAGGGGAGAGAAGAGGAGGGG